CATATATATATATATATATATATAATTTGAATTTTTGGAAACTTTAACTGTGCTGTCAACTTTGGAAAAAGTTATCCCAATTTACTGTGTTGTCAGCATTGTACAGAAATTGACAGCCATATTGGTCTAGAAATATTAATTTTTTAAATTTAAATTTTAATTTTTTTCCATTTGTACAGGGGTAATGCACTGTATTAAATCTGTAAGGTCATATCTACGTGGGTTTGACTACAGAAACTAATGAAGTTTTTTCTAAATAATGAAAAAAAAAGAATAAGACAAGGCTACAAGAGCAAGAAGCAATTTAAATATGTTCAGGGACCATTTTCATCTTTAGAATTAAGGAGTATTTTAATCTTACATCATTGTCTTTTCTCTTTTACTTTCCTTTTTAGTTTTATTTTTAGGATTCCCTATTTTTACTGTTCATACAGAGATTTCTTTAACAGAAATACCGAATAGTTTCTCTGGTGTGAAAAACTATAATAGTACTCAGGATCCTAATGAGATAATTGATGTGAAATAGGAAGTAAAGGGCTAAAGGTGTAGGGAAAGTGGGAAGGGTGGGGGAAAGGTAATAAGAGAGGAAAAAAATATGAGAAAATGAAAAAATGGAAATAAAGTGTTTGTAAATAGGGAGGGGAGGAGGGGTTGAAGGGAGGGCAGGGACAAGGGGAAGAAATGAGAATCAAGACCTATCATGTAAAGGTAAAGGATCCCAATAATGAATGTAATTGTATTGTATACCTCGATTGTACCAATAAACTCAATAAACAGAAAAAAATATTAATTAGGAATAAAGAGAAGTAAAAAGTCTGGATAAAGTAGTAATTCATGAAGAAATTATAACAGTTCTAAACATTTAGGTAACTAAAAATATTTCCTGAAACTATATCAAGGAAAGAAACAGACAAATCCATAGTAGTAGATTTTGTGTGACTGATATAATCATTAAGTTTAACAGGAAGGAACAGAGTTTATTATCAAGAAATAGAATTACAGACCTACAGTGTTACACAGAAGTGCTATCATAAATAGAAAGGAAAATAGCTTGTGTGGAAAAATTAAATCAAATATTTACCTTATACTATACAAATGTAAAAGCCAAATATGAAAAAATTAAAAATTTAACAAGAAAATATGAGAATAAATACTTTAAACATTTTCAGCACAGAGAGTGGACAAATGATTGGTTCCTATAGCAAGTACCAAAGTCCTACAAATAAATAAGTAGAAAACAGCAAATAGCAGAAAAATAGAAAAAAACCGAAAATGTTAGTCAAAGATACAAGATTCTTTTTTTGGGGGGGGTTGTTGAGACAGGGTCTCACTGTGTAGTTGAGACTGGCCTGGAACTCACCATGTAGCCCAGGCTGATCTCAAACTCACAGCAGTCCTCCTGCCTCAGCCTCGTGTGTGCTGGGATTACAGACTTGTGCCATCACTCCTGGCTAAGGATTCTTAATGAATGATAAAAATTAAGGATAAATGCTTAAATAGGGTGAAGTGCTTTGCACCAATTAATTTATTTGATCTTCATCATAACCTGAGCAAAGAACTGTTATTAGCAGAAAAAAGAAAGATACAGAAGTTAATAACTTGCCAGTGGTCACTTCTATTAGCTGTGTGACCACTGGCATGTTATTAACTTCTGTATCTTTGTTTTTAATTCTATTAGCTAATCGAATCAGTGCTACAATTTATAATTAAGCAGTTTGAATCCGAAACTCATATGCTTCATCATTGTAAAAGTAAAATTTAAGCTAAACAACACCAATTTTCACCCACTGAGTAGTAAGAATTAAGTGAAAGCCTGTCTATATCATAATATTAGTGACACTGTCTCTCATACACTTGTTAGTTAAGGTGTAAATTTCCACAACCATGTTGGTGGGTTCTTTATCAATACCCAGTAAAAGTGAAGACGTTCAAACCTCAGCATCTAGAAACTGCACTTTTAGATAAGTATTTTCATGACGGCCCATGTAAAGAATGATTATTGTAACATTTTTAGAAATTAAAAAAATATCAACATTCATGAAATGTTGAATGGATGAGTTAACTGTGGCATATTCATCCGGTAACATGCTAAAATGAAGGAAAATGTGACAGTTACATCAACTAGGCTTAGCTGTATTAACGTGGGTCCACGTAAAAAATGATTTGAATAAACTTGTGCGACGATACTATGTAATTCTACTCATGTAGAGTTGGAAGACATTCCAAACAATTCTATAAGCAAGGTTTGGGTGTATTTATAAATAGGAATCTATAGGAGCATATATGAGAAACTAATCAAGGAATCCTCCTCTTTCACATTCAACATCAGTCTCACTGATGCTCCCTTAAAGGTTTATTTGGAGTCTCATTTATTTTGCCACTATCATTATTATCCTAGAAAGGGCCACCAGTCTCTATTGTATTTTAGGGTATTTCCTCCTAAGGGTGTCTCATGCTTTGAGGCATCTTGCCCCTCCAGTTTATGCTACGACCCCTTAAAATCGTAAGCTGGACTGTGGTGCCACCTCTTTTTAGTAGCTATTTTTGTCTTCATATCTCTGCTCAAATATCATTTCAAAACACTTCATAATTAGTCTGAGTTGGAGTGACGGCGAAGGGTCATCTCATCAGACCTGGAACGTAAGAAATGACTAGGTGAAGATATATGAACAGTGTCACTTACTTTCTGTATTCTGTATCCTTGACATCGTGCAGCCTTGCCACCTTGGGGACTACCCTTTTCAGGGTTAGACAGTTCCTATTGGTAGTAAACAACTCACTCTTGCACATGCATTTCAAGTGAAAACCAACTAAGCCAGAATCTGTGTTCCAACACCTCCTTTGTTGGACTCTCATATACCAAGCCACTATCAGCTCCCTTAATAAGCCCAGACTAGGTACCAAACAGCTGGAGACAGGCTGTGGTTCTAGAACCTTCTAACTAGCCAGTCCTAAACCTGCTTACCCTGCCACACCCATTGCTCCTTGCAGAAACCTCAGCAGAGGCTCCAGCTTCTCCCTTCTGGCACCTGCTTGACCTGGGCTTCCCATTGATCTCCCCCGTCTAACGCAAGAAGTCCCTTTCTCTACTTTTGTCAATGGTAATCAATTCCTGTTTATTTGGCATTATTTGTATCTCAAACTTTTCCATAAATGTGATGTATTTTGAATCATTACTTTTGTCAATGGTAATCAATTCCTGTTTATTTGGCATTATTTGTATCTCAAACTTTTCCATTAACGTGATGTATTTTGAATCATAAGATAAAGAGGAAAAAGTTGAGAGAGACAGAGAGAGAGAGAGAGAGAGAGAGAGAAGGCAGGAGGAACAAATTATACAAAGGTTTTGAGATTAGAGACAGAGAAGAACTAAAAGGAATGAGTAAAGAGTGAGATAGAGATTAGCAAAAAGTAACCCTGGAAATGGGAGATGGAAGGAAGAAGACAGATGAAGAAAAGTTTAATACACTTTTGATGTGCAGATTCTTGATATATACTTACATATATATATATATATATATATATTGCATCTGTATATGTGTACATCTGTGTATATATATATACACAGTTGATGTAACTGTCACATAGGAGATATATATATATATGTATATCCTATGTCTATGCCTATATGTCTCATATATACATGTGTTAGTTGAGAGAGAGAGAGAGAGAGAGAAGGCAGGAGGAACAAATTATACAAAGGTTTTGAGATTAGAGACAGAGAAGAACTAAAAGGAATGAGTAAAGAGTGAGATAGAGATTAGCAAAAAGTAACCCTGGAAATGGGAGATGGAAGGAAGAAGACAGATGAAGAAAAGTTTAATACACTTTTGATGTGCAGATTCTTGATATATACTTACATATATATATATATATTGCATCTGTATATGTGTACATCTGTGTATACTATGCCTATATGTCTCATATATACATGTGTTAGTGTACAAATATACACATATGCCTATATGTACATTATATCTATATCAAGAATACATGTATCTTTAGTACATCTATAGTATGTACATTTACATATATGATGTCTCACATGTGAGGGTGAAGTGTTGCCATTAGAACAGTTTTAACCAAAGGAATAGTGTGTTTGGATTTTTGTTTAAACTTTTTTTCTAGAGGGTAGAGTAGAATGATACTGAGGCAAGGAGACTCGTGAGAGTATTGTTCATGTCCAGAAGATAGGTGGATGATGGCTTTGTGCTTAGAGAGAAGGCATGAAGTTAGGAGACAATTATTAAATAGAATTGTGAGGGTTTCTTTCTCAAGCATCTAGGTGGACAGTGATGGCCCTGGCTGACATTGGCTGCTCCAGTAGAGTGATATATTTGGAAGGGCAGAGAGGATAGGTTCAGGTCTGAACCTACTAAAGTTGAGCTGATATCAGTATCAATGTGTGATAATAAGTGGATGGCTGTGCATCTTCATGTCTAGAGAAAAGACTAGCCCAGAGCTGTCACTTTGAGTTTAAATAGAATACAGGTAGTGAAGGAGCCCGTGAAAGTAGAGAATACGAATTGAGAAGGTGTTGGGCCTGAGGACAGACCAAGAGTGGTAATATTGTCTGAGGAGGGCAGCATGGTTTCCTTGGGTTTGTGATTTGGATATCATTGTTGAGCTTAGCAAGAGCACTTCGTATTTTGTGATGTGAGCAGAGGCCAGACTGAAAGGATCAAGTGGGAAATGGGAAGTGAACAAAAAAAGAGAGAGAAAATGCATGTCAACACAAGTTTTGAGCATTTGCAGCTACTACAGAAGATTTGACAAAAAGTCCTAAAGGTAATAGGAACTGTACTCACTGAAATGTGTTTTGGAAAATATCCTTCCCATACTCTTCTAATGCCTTTAAATTCACATAAAAACTTGTTTGACCAGAACTCTATACTCAATTTTTGTGATGTCAGTACTTGAGAAAGAATTAGTGTAATTGCTCTCCCAACCAAAGATCTTTTGTGTATTATTTTAAGGATTAAGCAATGTGGCACTTAAGACTTTGTGGGAGGGTCAGTTATTGTGACGATTTTGATTGGGAGGGCCTGTTCCATCACATCCCATAGATAGGCGTGTATTTAACTAAGGCAGGGATGACACATAATAGCATGAACGCTGCTACTCCTGTTATTAGCCTATGATAAGCATGACATGGGTTTGACCACAACATCCTTTTATTATAGCATTCTATGCTGATGAAGCCAAAAAGCCACTTCTGATGTTAATTTTGGTGTCCTGTTCTTGGATGAATACACCCAGGGCCAAAGCATTGCACAACTCCACGAGTCATGGCTTACAGAGACTGCATTGTGAATGGTATTCACTGGGTTTGCGTGGTAGGCTGGCTGTTACTGCATCTTGACTCCAGTTTTCCTTTCACCCTTTCTTCTTTCTCCCATTGAGAATCAAAGCAAGATGGCTATTCAGTTAGTAGCTAAGTAAATCATATATGACATCTTGGGCATTGTTTTTCAAGCTGCTCAGGAGTCTGTTCTCATATTATCACAAAGTGCATGCACATGCCATTTATAATCCATTCTGTGGACCAAAGTCAAATTTGCCAAGTTGCATCTAAGCTTCCGTAGTTTTTGAGACCAGTTCACTCACCTCAGTCTGACAACATGGGCTCTGATAAACTGATTTCTTAAATTTGATTGTCGGAATGCACTAGTAATCTGTAGAAAGAAAGGTGAAAACATTTTTGTAATTATACAGTTCTTTCTTTCCTTTCTCCCAACCTTGCAACACAGGACTTATATTGAGTAGAGAACTAAGTTTTACGTTGAGTTTAGCTCAGTTCCATCACAGAAGTGTGGGACTGGCTTAAGCAGGTAATGTAACCTTCTGATGTGGAGTCTATTTTTTTTCTGTCTAACACAGGCGACACTGACCAGGGCCATCTTTGGTAATAGTCACAGTAATTATATCACCTGTTTTACCTTGTAAGAGCCTATGTCACATGACTGGCTGTTGCTAAGAGTGTTGGGGCGAGAGCCAAATCAACACAAGGGAATTCCACTCATGCAACTCATAATGTGTGACCCCCAAAACTGCTTTTTGAATAGATAAACGGAAACTAAAGAATTGTAAAATGAGTAGTGAAAGCTTAAAGACAAAAGGAAAATGAAAGAAACAGCAGTCTTTTCCTTGTCATTTAGAATCCATGCCTTAACACTAGAAGTTACTTTCTGCATTAGCTGGTGATTTCTTGACCCAGCTGGAGCAATTTCCCTGGATCACTGCTCAGTGCTAACAAGGGTGGGTACCTAAACATACAAAGCTCAACTTCCTGTCAGCAGAAAGGGCTTCTGTGTGTGGTATGATTCTGCGGTGCAGGCACAGATGAGCTATGCTTCTAAAATAAAGAGATTATACTGGCTTGTTCCACGAGGTGGCACTCACATGGATGTTGGCATGAAGAGGTTAAGGCAGGTAATTAAGTGGAGTGCTGAATATTATGTTTAGCCAGGATTTGAAGTCAATTCATTTGAGACTGGGAGGTTAATGGAATCTATTATATGCTATCTCACAGTGTATCTTACTTTTTTGATATCCATACTTTTTGACTGATATCACCAATGAGTTGTTGGAAGAATAATTTTCTTTTTTTCCCAGAGGCTTGAAGTAATTTTAGGAATAATGAAACTATCGACTTTGTTAAAACAATCTCATGTTGATTTTTTAAAGTTTAAGAAATACTAGCAAGTGTTAAGAAAAAAGCAAAAATCACTCTAAATTCTACAATCTAGAGTTAATTACTACTGTCATTTGGTGGACCAAATTCCATTTATCTATATAGAGAAGCATATGTTAATTAATATGGAATATTACAACAAATAAATTAATAAAGGGATTTAGCTTTAATTTTACTCAACTTTAATGGACCTAACAGAAACTGAAATAAAGCTGACACAATCACTAAATTTTGAGTAATTCTTTCTTGTCATATATTAATTCTTAATTGAAAATTACACTGACAAGGCTACCCTGGACCAAATTGTAAGGTTGTAAATTTGGATTTTCAGAATTCCTCTCAGCCCCTAGCTAGTTCTGGAAGATTTAATTTACTTTCACAATTAGATAAATGGTCCACTGTTGATGCCCAATCAGTGCCACTGTGTCCTCATCACTTGCTTCCTGCTGTTAATTGCTCGACACATTGTGCCTTCCTACATAAAACTAAATGAAGGTCAACTCATGTGTTAAGAACTAACAAAGTTGTTTATCCTTTACTTTTCTGTTTCTTAAGAAAAAGAATTTAGTTGTTGTTGTTTTGAAAACAATGCATGTAGGGGACCTTCTTCTATTACTCAGTGCATTGTTTGCTCTTTCTGGGTTGCTAGGGCATACAACCCACTCTAGAGCTCCACAAAGACTGAAACCATGGCTTTATTTTGCATCCCTAGGACCTAGCATAGGACCCTACAGAATACGTGACTTATTCATTCATTCAACAGATATTTTAAATTTCTAGTATGTGTTAAATTGTCTTTGAGGCATTAAAGAATTTTAAATGGATGTACCTGAAATGATATATTATCTTTTAAATGGATTACCTTAATGAGAAACTAGAGTCATTTATAGCTAAATGGATGTATATTGAGGCCATACTCTTAAGTGAAATAAATAGGACACACGTGTAAATACTGAATAGTTTCTTTGGTGTGAAAAACTAAAAGTGCAAATAAGGTTCAAATTGTATAATTGATAATGTGAAATAGGAAGAAAAAGGCTAAAGGTATAGGGGAAGTGTGAAGGGTAGAGGAAAGGAAAGAAGGGAAAAGAAAAAAGTATGAGAAAAGCAAAAAAAAAAAAGAAAAAGGAAATAAAGTCTTTGTAAATAGGGAAGGATGGAGGGGGCAAAGGAAGGGCAGGGCTATGGGAAAAAATAAGAACCAAGACCTGTCATGTAAAGGTACAAGATCCCAATGATGAATGTAACTGTACTGTATACCTAAAATATACCAATAAACTTAATGGAAAAAAAAAGAGAATTACCTCAAATCCCTGATGGGGTAAATGATGTGATGAATAATTTCTGTTTACTGATTGTTTTTCTCTTTCAGTGTTCTTTTTTACGTATGTGAATTTTACTCCCTTTTTGTCAGGTATCAGAATACAAGGGTAAGACAAAACAGAGAGTCCTGCAGTTGTGGGGCCTACATTTGATGGTGGGACACAACAATCATCCACAATTAAATAAAACCATAAATGCTTTAAGTGTCAGAACATAGTAGAGGTTTTGATGTGGTCAATGAGATGAGAGGAAATATTTACTGAGCTGAAATCGTCAGGGACAATCAGTTAGCTGGTTGGGAGGAAGGAAAACGCTCTGTGGAGTGAATGGCACACATAGGCTCCTGAGGTGAAAAGAGCCAGGTGGTGTGTAGGGGCAGAAGAAGGCCAGTGCAACTGTGCCCTGCTGCTCTACGAGCAAGTAGGCTAGGGTGGTGGGAAAGGCCACACTGTGCAGGTCAATGGCACATGGAGCATTCCAGTTTTATTCTAAGTAACAGGGAACCCGCAAAGTATTGACCAGAGGAAAATAAATCAGATCTGCAATTTCTCTTGCTGCATGTATATCTGCTTCAAAGGAGAAATAATCGAATGGTTAGTAATGATGCCATTTTGGTCTTTCACAGTAGAAGTGTGGCTTGGATAGGCATCGTGGCAGTAGACATGGGGAAACGTGCACAGATTTGAGGGAATGTATGAGATAAAATCTACAAGAGTTGATAATGGATGGGGTTTCTGGCATAGCAAGGATGAATTCTTGCTTTCAAGCTCGGATAACTGAATAAACAGCATTGTCATTAATATGGACAGTGGTTGTTGGAAGGAAGTCAGTGGGGTGTGATCCTGAATTTGGTTTTGAGTCATAATGTATTTGAAGTGCTTTGAAATAGCCAAACAGAGATGTCAAGCTTGCAATTAGGTGGAAGGCTCGAAAGTGTAGAGGTGAAGTCCACGGAGAGGTATGTTGAGTCACTAGTATATAAGTAATGTTGAAGTAATTGGCACCAGTATCATCGAGAAGGTGAATACACTGTGAGAGGAGAGGAATTTGTCAAAGCCTCCAGGAATTTCAGCATTTGTTGGCAGCGTACAGGAGGGAAGCATCAGGCCACAGACAAGGAATGACCAGAGAGGTAGGGTGAAAAAAATGGGTGAGTCAGTGGCACAGGAATCTCATGAAAATCACAGACTTATAGACTTTTTCAGTGAGAAAGTACAAAGAAATTCATCTACTCCAACTATTTTATTTTCCTGATACATAAAGTGAGGCTCTGAAGAGAAGTGAACTGCTTCACAGAAAGTCCTGTGGCTGCTGTACTGCTCATTCTCTTCATCACATTATCTGTGAGCCGAGGGTAGTAGTGCCGCCTGTTACCTCTGGAGAGCGTATGATAGAGACTTGGAGCCAGGAAGCTGTGCTTGCACTCCTGTTCTACACAAGAAGAGCCTTTAACTTGTTTCTTTTCTTTTCCCCCTCATTGAGTTTATCGGTACATTTTAGGTATACAGTACAGTTACCTTCATCATTGGGATCTTGTACCTTTACATGACAGGTCTTGGTTCTCATTTTTTCCCCTTACCCCTACCCTCCCTTCACCCCCTCCACTCTCTCCTATTTACAAAAACTTTGTTTCCATTTTTTCATTTTCCCTTATTTTTTTCTTTTCCCTTATTTCCTTTCCCCTACCCTTCCCAGTTCCCCTATACCTTTAGCCCTTTTCTTCCTATTTCACATCTCACAGTTTTCATTTATTTATCTGGATAGATGATATATTAATTCCTGTGGCTATTGTGAAATAGATGGGTAATATGTGAAAGTGTTTTATAATCTAGAAACCACTGCACTAGTAATATTTTAAATGTTCAGATGTTTTAGATGTTTACCCTTTTATGGAAGGATAAATATATGATATTAAGGAAATCATATACCAGAGGTATTTCAAGGGAAATCTCGAAACATTAACCACATTATCAAACCACAGTGTTCTAAAAAAGTCTGCAGGCAAAACTACTGCAGGCAAAAATTAGTCTGTAATGTACAGCTTAGAGTACAGAAAAAGAAAGGGAGGAATTTAGCAGATGACAATGGCAACAAGATGGATAACTCAGTTACACTAAGTAGCACAATATTTTGAGACTACTTTTAGCTATTTTGGGAGAAGTTTTAATATATTAATAAAAAATTCTAGATGAATTAGAAAAAAGTATAATGATTGAAAATAATAAAAGTATAAAAAAGGTGAGTGAGCATATAAAGAATATTTGGGACAGAGAAAGACATTTTTCATTTTTTTTGTTTTGCTTTGTTTTCTTTGAGACAGGGTCTCACTATATAGTTCAGGCTGGCCTTTAGCTCACTCTGTAGTCTAGGTCGGCCTCAAACTCACAGTGATCCTCCTGCCTAAGCCTCCTGAGTGCTGGGATTACAGGTGTGCTCCTGCCTGGTGAGAGATATTTTTAACTGGGCATGAAAATGAGCAATTCTAAAAAAACTCATGACTTTGGCCATATAAAAAGTAACTCAAGTGGGGTGTGGTGGTGCATGTCTGTAATGCCAGCATTTGGAAGTCTGAGGCAGGAGAACTGTCTTGAGTTCAAGGCCAGCTTGGGTAATAGTGTGTCCAAGGCCAACCTGGACTGCATAATGAGACCCTGTGTCAAAACAAAACAAAACAAAACAAGCAAAGTGATACAAAATAAAAGTAAATCTACTTCACATAAAATGTCTGTAAACAAGATTGAAAGTTAAATCACTAAGAGAAATTATGTGCACTATGAGTAACAAATTTAGTATATTAATAATCTTTTTTTGTAAATAAAAGTAAATCTACTTCACATAAAATGTCTGTAAACAAGATTGAAAGTTAAATCACTAAGTAGAGAAATTATGTGCACTATGAGTAACAAATTTAGTATATTAATAATCTTTTTTTTCAAGTTCATATTAAAAAAGGGCTTCAATTTAAAAAAGGAAGACTGTGATTAGCAAGTCACAAATGAAATTGTAGAAATAAACAGTATATAGAAACATTCAATGTCACTGGTAATTAAAGATATACAAACCATAATAATAATGAGATGTCATCACTCATGTGTTGACTTAACAATAATTAAAACCTTTTTACAAGCCTAGTGTTAATGTTGTAGGGAAATAAGATTCCCTGTTCATATTTATATTTGCTGATGGCAATGTAAACAGGTATTTCTAGAATGCAATATAGAAATTAAAATAACTATTTAAAATAGATTTAAAACAGGTAGACTGCTAAACTGATATAGACAAATAGTAAGTAAAATAAATACCTGGGGAAAACAGACAAAAAGAAAAATTTCAAATATTCTTCAATTATTTAAAGCAAAACTTCACTCTTCTACTGTTTACTTGTGGTCTGTGCATAGTGAGTTCTTTCCAACGCGTATTGTATGGAAAAGGAGAGGAGTAACTATAGTGTAGAAACCCAAGAAATAGTACCCCAGGCAGTGGCTAAGGTCAACAGTGAAGAGTCATGTTGCTGAAAACGTAAGCCTTTGATAGGAGTGATAAAGATGATGCTTTTCATTATAGTCTCCCCCTTGAAATTAATAATCTCAGTCTAACTATGAGAAAAACCACAGAAAACTCAATTCATGGGGCTTTATACCAAATACTTGACCACTTCTCAAAACTGTCAAACATAATTTGGGGGTTTAGCGTAGTGGTTCCGCCACCTGCCTTGCAAGCTCAAGGGCCTAGTTCTATCCCCAGTACCAAAACCAAAACCAAAACAAAAGCAAAAAATAAAAAACTGTCAAACTTATCAAAAACAAGGAAGGTCTGAGAGTGTCATAGTCTGCTGCATTAGCCTAAGGGAACATGACAAATAAATATGATATATTCTGGATGAAAGTCTGGAACAGGGAAAGACATTAAGTTAAAACCAAGAAAATCTAAATAATGTATAGAGTTTAGTTAGTAAAAATATAGTAACATCAGTTTGTTAATTGTAACAAATGTACTATCATAATCTAAAAACTTTCTAGAGAAAAATCTCTAGAGAGAAATTAAGAATGAGTGGAGCCTATAATATGGTGGTTTTACTTCTAGGACTATATCCCAAGAATATAATCATTCAAATATGCAAGGATGTATAAAAAGGCATGATCATCAGAATGTTGAATATAATTATAATTTAAACAACTAAAGAGAAGGATGGGGGTCTCTCCTTGTAGGAGAAATCTTTCTTAGCATGAAGGAGGCTCTGGGTTCCATCCCTAGTACTGTAACAAAACCAAACAAAGCACAACTAAAAAAATGTAAATTCTTTCCAATAAAGGACTGGTTAAATAAAATACTGCATATTTATATACTACAATAGCCTTTAGTTATTTTAAATGGTATTTCTAAAGTCACTGATATTTAAATGTGACTGTATCATTTCTGAGAAAAAGAGGTAATGAAATAACATATTTAGTCTAATATATATGTGTGTGTGTGTATATGTATATGTATATGTGTATGTATATATATTGGAATAGTGCTCTATAGATTTACTGAATATTTTCCAAAGGAGCATATAGCACTTTTTCACTTAATTCCTGTCCATTCATATTGATGAATATGTTCTGATTCATTCTATACATTTCTAAATTAGTTTTTTTGTAAGTTTACGTAAGTTCCATCGTAGCTAAGCTGACCTACCATGTCCGGTCTTTTCTAGCAGGAGCTGGATGACCCCTATAGGACATCTAGCTTTTCTGGCAGATAACTGGGTCCTCATTCCCTACCATGATGCAAATACCTGTCACTGTACACCCTTCTGATTGGCTTCCTGTATTCTGTGGAGAGGACATATAAAACATCAAAAGGCATCTTTGGGTGGGTGTGAGGACTTCATTATGGATGACTGACCTCAGAGTGCTCTCTCATGAGTTTGTGTCTCTAGTATGCAGCTTGAAGAAATTTAGATATGTCTGTTGGTTTGAACTCCAACCTATGGGATTTTGTGGTACAGATGATATAACTCAAAATTCCAGTGTATTTCTAAGAACAGATTGGAGAAAGTGTAAGGGTGGAGGGTTGCCTTGGTCAGCACAAGATGAATTTTATCTGCATTCATATTTTCTACATTTTCTTAGGCAGCTATCTTTTTGCCTATTCTCTACACCACTGTAATGAACTTTGAAATAGTCTTCCTTTGTTTGTGTTCCTTTTAAGATTTAATTTATACGCTTCTGAACATGAATATGTCAAATTTTGCTTCCATCATGTTAAATCAAACTGAAGGCACACTACCTACAGTATAAGATCCGAACTTTCTAGCTAAGTACATTCTCACTTCTATGCTTTGGCTCCATTTTTAGCCATAGTCTGCCTGGTTTGTTTTCATAGCCAACTTGAAAAGTTATCTTTTGTAAGAAACTTTCTCTGCTCTCTATATTGGACAGAACCTGCCTCACGCCCTTACCACACGATCAAATTTCACTACCCATTTTGCACTGTGAATCCCTTAGACTTATTTAATCCTTAACATCACACTAATTTGTATATTTATATAAATGAATGTGCAAGGTCTGTCTGGGAGGAGCTAGTGGGCAGCCTGTGCTTCTCAGAGTGAGAGTAAAGGTTGCATTGAATTTGTCCATTTGAACTTTTAGGTTTAACATTGAACCAAAATGTGATTGTCCAAACTATGTTACATGGTGAATATATCCTTTAGCACTCTCTACTTTCTGTGGTTAGTTCAATAAGGAGCGAATAAAGATGCAAAGTGAAAAGGATTTAAAGGGTAATCTCAGTACTTACCATACACACTAATAATAAGCATCCTGTCTTTGAAGTTAAGTCATAGTCAAATCAAATATCTATTTATTTTTGGCCTGCTTAACACTTTCCATTCATGACAAGAAAATGTGAATAAGAACCAGTACATTGATGAATTACTTATAGAAAGCACAGAGAAAAACATCTCTTACCACTCATAGGAGGAATCTATTATGAGCACCTAGCAATTGAAAATACATCTTAAAACTTTGTTTATTTTTATATTCATTTTTAATGGAATAAAGAAGAAAGATAAGTGTTAACATACCATAGATTCAATTCTTTCACTCAAAATTCTGTATTCTTGTGTACCTGGTGAGCTTAACTGATCATTGTATTCAACATTCATTATTGGAACGTTACTATGGTAAAAGCAAGACTTCTGATCTGGAAAAAAAAAAAAAGAAGGATCAGCCTCACTTATGAAGTAGTTAAATTTTTTTTCAGGATTATGGGAAGTTATAGTGTGCAAGTAAAATTGGTTTCCTTAAAAGAAAGAATAATCTACACTTAATATAAATGTAACTATTATAAAATTATTTTTCTTTCAGTATTTAAAAAAGATTGGCAAACCTAGAATTGTTAAACTCTGTATGAAATTTAAAGTAGTGTTTTATTATTTGAGACCTTAAACCTGTTTCAAAGTGCTACCTCTTTATTATTATATCTTACAGAGATTTATGGATCATTCAAGAAATATATAAATATCTATAGTATTGCTATTATTCATTTATCATTAAGAAATAATTCAAGTAACTGAATAATTGCAAAAATTATTTTACTGGAAGGGGACTGAGTGGGTAGGAGCAATGAGGGATGGAGGATGGGGTATGAAAAGGATTAAGATGTGTGAAACACATGGACCAACTCCCCATAATGACTGCAATCATTATGTACTGCAAACACTACTAATAAAAACTATCTTAAACAGTATTCTTTATAGAAGAACTAGTGTTTTGACATTAGCTTTTCTGTAATAAGCAAGAAAATAAATTTTCTTCCAGAATATCTAATCTACCTTGTCCTTGTTATTTTCATAAAAAGGGGCCTTCCAGAATACTTATTCAGCTGTGTGATGCGATAAAAATCTCTCAAACACTCCTACCTTTACACAACTCCAAACATCATGGAAAGGGATGTGATTCTAATAGAACTCACTTCAGGAAAAAAAAAAAAAGTAACCTCTCTTTTCAGAGTACTATAGTTTTCACTGTAGTGGTCTTTCACTTGCTTGGTTAGGTTAATTGCTGGGTATTTCATTCTTCTTGATGTTATCGTGAAAGGCATTGTTTCTCTAATTTCTCTCTTCCCGAGTTTATTATTGTTTTCAGAAATGCTATTTACTTTGGAAGAGAAGATTTTTTTTTTGCTGTTTGTTTTTGTTTTTTGGCACGAGGGATTGAACTCAGGTCCTTGAGCTTGTGAGGCAGGCAGCAGAACCTCTGAGCTAAATCCCCAGCCCGCTATTGACTTTTGAGTGTTGGCTTTGCATCCTGCTGTGCTACTGAATTTGGGTATTAATTCTGAGAGTCTTTTCATGGAGTTTTTGAGATCTTCTGTGTAGATAATCATATCATCTGCAAATAATAATAATTTAACTTCTACCTTTCCTATTTATATCCCTTTTATTTATTTCTCTTATCTAATTGCTCTGCTTACTGTTTTGAGGGCTATATTAGGTGGTGGTAGTAGACATTTTTGTCTTTTCCTGATTTTAGTGGGAAAGTGTTCAATTTCCATTTAGTATGATGTTTATCACTGGGTTGTCATTGATATCTTTTATCAGATTGAGATAAAGTGTTCTTTACCTATTTTCACAGGGACTTTCTCATGTATGGATTTTGTCAAATGCTTTTTCGGTATCTATTAAGATGATCTTGTCATTTTTGCCTTTGCTTCTGTTTATGTGGTGTATTGCATTTATTGGTTTTGCATATTGAACCACCCTTGTATCCCTGGAATAAATCCTGGTTGGTCATGATTTATGATCTTTTTGATACCTTTCTGCATTTTTGTCAGTGTCTTATTGAGAATTTTTGCAGCTATATTTATTAATGAGATTGGCCTAGAGGAGTCTTTTTGGTTAGGTTCTTTTCTGGATTTGGAATTAGGGTAATGCTTGCTTCTAGGAATGACTTTGGGAGTATTGCTTCCTTTTTTATTTAACTAAAGAGTCTGAGGAGTATTCATATTATTCTCTAAAGTTCTTGTAGAATTTTGCAATGAACCATAAGGACCTTTTGTTACTTGACATTTTAAAAAATTATTATTACTTCTTCAATTTCATGGACTGACATTGACTTATTTGGGATTTTTATATCTTCCTGGTTCAGTTTTCGTAGTTCTGTACCATGCTGTAGGGAATCTATCCATTTCTTCTCAATTTTTCTGTTTTGTTAGAGGATGGGTTCTCAGACTAGTTACTGATGACAGTCTGGATTTTGGCACAATCCATTTTGATTTCACCTTTTAAATTTATTGAATGTTCTTGGGCTTTTTCTTTCCTTGTTTTGGTAAGATTGACTTTTTATCTATTTGTTTATTCTTTCAAAGAACCAAATCTTTGATTCACTGATTGTTTATATTGCTTTTTTAGTCTCATTTTCATTTCTTTCTGCTTGATCTGTGTAACTTCTTTCCTTGTATTGGTGTTGGAGTTGGATTGTTCTTGCCTTTCTGGGACCTTGAGGTACATCAGCAGGTTATTTGAGCTTGCCCTATTTTCCCAATGTGCAAATTCATTGCTATAAAGTTCCCTCTTATGAGAGTTTTTATTGTGTTTCATAGGTTAATGTATTTCATACTGGCTTTATCATTTGATTATAGAACCTGTCTATTTTCTTCCTTCATTTATCTCTTTGTTTTCTTCTCTTTATATCCATCGATCATTCAAGAACGTATTATTTGATTTCCATGTCTTTGCATAGTTTCTGTGGTGTCTTTTGCCCTTGACTTCTAGTTTCATTGCATTACTATTTAATAATATGCATGAGAAGATTTCATTTTTTTTCATTTGTATAAGCATAAGCATGTTTTATGGGCTAGTATGTGGTCTATTTTGGAGAAAGTCCTATGTGGTGCCTAGAAAAATGTGCATTCTATTGATGTTGGATGGAACGCCCTGTAGGTATCTATTAAGTCTATTTGTTTGATGGTTTGATTCAATTCTGATATTTCTTTGTCTATTTATTTTGTCTATTTGATCTGTCCACTTGTAACAGTGGGGTATTGAGGTCCACCGTTATAATTGTATTGGTGTTTATCTGAATTTACATGTTCATTAATATTTGTTATATGAAGCTGAGCATGCTGGTATTTGCTGGATATATGTTTATAATTGTTGTATCTTCCTATTGAATCGCTCCCTTAACCAATATATAGTGACACTTTATCTCTTCTTATCAGTTTGGACTTGATGTGCACATTTTCTGAAATTTAGCATAGATATTCCTGGTTTTTTTTCACATTCCCATAGCATGGAATATTGCTTTCTAACCTTGGATTTTTAATTTGTGAATTTCTTTCTTTTGCGGGGGTTTTGGGATTTTTGTTTTTGTTTTTTTTTTGAGATAGGGTCTCACTATGGAGTTGAGACTGACCTGGAACTCACTGTGTTGCCCAGGCTGGTCTTGAACTCACAGAAATCCTCCTGCCTCAGCCTTCGGAGTGCTGGGATTACAGGTGTGAGCCACCACACCCAGCGTGATTTTTTTTTTTTTAATTAAATGTGCTTCTGGTATACTGAAAAATGTTGGATTTTGTTTCTTGATCCACTCTTCCAACCTGTATCTTGACTGGGGTACTGAGACCACTCCCACTGAGGGTTATTACTGAGAAGTATTGGCTTATTCTTGTTATTGTGTTCTTTTCTTATTGCTGTTTTTCCATTATTTATTGGCATTTTTGTCTTCTTTGTCTCTTTCCAGGGTATCCTTGAGAATTTTTTGTAATGCTGGTTTGGGTGGCAAATATGCTGATGTAGCTCCTTGTCATGTACATATCTCATTTCTCCATCAATTTTGAGATAATATTTTGCAGAATATATAAGTTGTGTTTGGAGGCTCTTGTTTTTTTAGAGCTTGAATTTCTTCACTCCAAGCCCTCCTGGACTTAAAGATTTGTGAAGAGAAGTCTGCTATAATTGCAATAGGTTTAACTTTATATGTGATTGTTGCCTTTCTCTAACAGTTTTTAAAAATTTTTGTCCCGGCGATGGACTTCTCATCATTTGAGTATAATTTGGTGTGGAAAGGTTCTCTTTTGGTCATGGCTATTTGGGCTTTATTTGTGTTACTTATCTATATGTTTATTTCTTTCCTTATGTTTGGAAAGTTTCTTCCAGTATTTCTGTGAACATTTTTTAATGCCATTTGTTTTCTTCTGATTTTTCATTTATTCCATTTACTCTTAGATTAGTTTTATTTGTATCATCTAGAAGCTGTCTGAGTCAGTTTTCATGTTGTCTGGTGTTCTTAGGGTGTGTAAGTAGTTGATCTTTGGAGACATCATTGTATATTAGTTCTTAAATTCTTTCCTCACATTGGTCACTTTTGCTGTTCACACTTTTGAATTAAGTTTGAATCTCTTGGACTTCAGATGCAGGCCTTGACAGGAACTCTATCATTTGCTAAACCAACCATAATGTTTTGTATCATTTTGTTCAGCTCACAGAGCTTTTTATTCCTGTCTTCTGAAAGCTCCTGCACCATTTTGGTTATTCTTTCATTATTTGTTTAGTTATATCTTCTTTGATTCTGCCGAGTACTTCTTTCATCTGTTTTCTAACCTCCTCTGTTCTTGTTTCAGGTAATTCATGTGTGTGGCTCATGCCATTCTCCTCTTGATTCCCACTGCTGCCTGCTGGGGCTTTTGAAGTTTTGGGAAGTTTTTTTTTTTTAACCTTGTCTTATGTTTCTATTTGAGTGTGTGTGTGTGTGTGTGTGTGTGTGTGTGTGTACTGATGTTGTGGATACTTATATTGTAAAGATTTTGTTGCTGTACGGAGATCCCTTTAGTTGTTTTTCAGTGATGTAATTTGAGCATGACTAGCTATAGTTCTTTACCTCAGCTCCATGATTTGACTACCTTGGTTAATTTGGGAAAGAAAGATGAAATACAGCAAGCCCAACACCACATTTTTTGGGACTGTACTCTAGTATTCATAATGTCACAAAGGCAATCTGAATGTTGGCTTGCAATAACCCTAACCAAAGCAAAAATAGTGTGCATACTCACAAACAACAACATCTAACACCCATAACAAACCAAGAAACTTATCTGTAATTTGGAATTCATGTTGGTTTTTTGTTGTTGTTTTTTTGTTTTTTTTTCTGAGATCAGCAATGCTGGGACAGTGCCCAGATCAAACATGCCCCTGCTCATGCTTC